GTCGTTGCCCTTCACAGCGGTGACGTAGTGGATCAGATGATCCTCGGGATCTGTGGTTCCGTCATATACCCTCAAGTAGGGTGGCATCTTGAAGGTTTTTGGGGTGGAGTGAGGGGCAGCTTCTTCAGTGTATGGTTGTTCAATGAACCTTCCCACGTCGCGTTTTGGTAGCAACTTGGGAGCACCGTGGATCTTGTCGACCCTCTCCTGATGTTCCTTCATCTGACCGCGGAGCGCCTTGTTTTCGTTTTCCATTTCTTCCATCTTCTTTAGGATGGCTGTTAGCGTGCTATCGTTGGTCTGTGTCTCGATAGGTTTATTATTCGCTAGTGCAACTTCCGATTCACCCACGGCAGCAGTGGTACCTACCGTTGGTGTACACTCGATGTTACTTTGTGGTGACCTCTCAACCAAGCCACTTAGAGTGCTTGTTAGCCATCTTTCCAGTAGCTCCTTGACCGCTGAGGGTGCTTCCGCGGCCGCAGATGTGGAAGCTCCTTTTTCGTGCAAGATCGTCAGACCTTCGGATGGGGAAGGTGAGATCTCTGCACCCGGTGTGATGCTAGGGGTTGCATTCAGGATGCCATCGTCACTGGCCTCGTTGAGAGGCCCAAGGAGATTGGTAGTGACACCCAATATAGCTTCCGATCTTGTGTTATTTCCGGCCATTTTCTGTTTTTGTGTGGTGTAGAGAGTGGTAGTTGGTTGATCTCTAGGTGGATACTATGGCTTTGATTCTCGAAATCCCCACAGACGGCGCCAAATTGTTTGGCTCAAAAGTTAACAATATACTTTGTAAGCAAGAAAACAATCAAAAGTAAGAAAAGGGTAAATCGTAATCAAATATAATACACCTAGAGATGCAAAGATGATATTATTGTTGTAGATCTAGTATTGCAAAGTGATAATATGAACTCAATAAGATATGTTCGTTTGAGGTAGAGATAGAGAGAGAAAGCCAGAAAATGAGAGAGTTGTATTAGATCCGAATCCCCCCCTTTACAATGTGAAGGTCTCCTTTATATAATAAGAGACCTTCCTCGAAAGAATCAAAAAGTTACAAAGACAGGTAACGTCTCCCTAGTGAAGACACTGAGTCCTAAACGATGTCGCTTTTGTCCCCACGTCCGAGTCGTACCCGCTACGTTAGTCGGCGTACACTCACTGGGCGTACCCACTGGCATAGAGATGCTGAGGGTCAAATTTGACCCTATACAAGAGTGTAACTACTGGTCATCTTTTCTAATTAGTAAGTGTTGTTCTGATCACATGTAATAAAACTCAGCCCTCTGTCCTATTTTGATCAGTAAATAAAAACAGCAAAACACAAGTATATACTACATTTCAGCTTATAAGGTACCATTCAGTGGTCTAGAAACCACAATAAATAATCAAAGAATGAATCTGCAAAGCAGGTTTTGATGATTAACAGGATAGGTTTTGTGAAATGGCATTAATACAACTCGAATGCCTGAATCACAAAATGCTGTCGCTGGTAACAGAACTTCAAAGTATCCAATATATCACAGAAATAGTTTATGTTAACAACTAAACCGGCTAAAACTCTTCAGCAGGGAAAATTTAGAGAGAAGAGCATGACGGATGGAATAAATATGTAGGCACCTCAGTTCCCTGTAGGATTCAAGTTCCATGATAGATAGGCTGGATCACCGAAAGGCCTGCATGGTTACAATTCCAGAATAAACATCAATGATATACTTAATGGTGCATGTGCGCATATGTAAATCTAAACAACAACGACGCCTCAATCCCAAGAAAGTTGGGGTCTCACTCCATGTAAATCAATTTTAAATAATGGGAGCGCACAACACACACCGATACATATTAGAACCGTTATCAACTTCAATGTTGCCAACATATTTCATTTACCTCAAAAACAAACAAAAGGCACCATCAACAAACACAAAGCCAAGACTCACATTTTCGAAGAAGCTTTTTGAAAGTTGATTCAAGAACTGCGTCCCAATTGCTAACTCGTTTACAAATTTAAAGGATTCTGAATTCTATCAAATTGAAGTGCTAGCATAAACATGATAGGTAAAAGGTTTTCTTCAGTATAAATGTGTGTTTTGACCGTATATTCTCAAGAGTAGAGTGTTTTTTCGTAACTTATAGTGAGGTTGCATTAAATGGGAAGGATTAGAAAGATCTCATACAAAATCTGCATGGAAGTATGAAAATCAACACTCTTGTATGTCCATAAGACATGTTTGTGCCATGTTAAAGTAGTCCCTAATTATGAGAAAAAGATAATAGTCCAATTCAAACTAAGTCTATAAGCTGAAAATAACAGCTTCCAGTTTTCATTAGGGGCGGGCATCGGTCGGTTCGCTTTTGTAGAAGTTCGGTTCGGTTTTCGATTTGCGATTTTAATAACCAAAACCAAACCAAAGTACTTTCGGTGCGGTTCAGTGCAATTATTTTCGGTTTGATTTTTCGGTTTTAGACTTGTCAAGTTGGACTTCTTTCTTAAGTAATAAATGAGCCTCAGAATTAGACTCTTACAAAGTTTCTCAGGCTCCATGCATGTGCTTAACAAATTGTCCTACTGTAATCTACTTTAACATGAAATTTAATTAGAAAATAATAAAATATGCACTAAGAATATATGATTATTGTACTTGCTAAGAATCTGTAGTAATGAGTATTTTTTTATTGTTGAATTTGCAATTGAATATTTTGTTAGTAATAGCAGTTATGATTTGCACATTAACTGAAAGTAATAGAAGAGATCATCGTGGAACAAATAAGTATCATAATTTATTGAATAATGATCATGGTGGTTATTAATTTTTGGGTAGCGTGACTTTGGGATTGGATGAGTTTCTGAAAAGTGTGGCATTTTGGGGTTTGGGATTCAGCATTCACTGACAATCAATAAAAGATTGGGCCCATATTTAGCATGTTAGACTTAAGAGGGAGAAATTCAAAAATAGCTAGATTTATCACTGGTCGTTGAAAAATAGCCAAGTTCCAAAAGTTATCGAAATTTAGCCACTTTAAATCTGAGCGAAAACACTGTTTAAAATCCGGAAAAATACGCAAGCATAATATGCTGGAACTCCCGCAAATTTTACGGGAATTCCAGCAAGTATAATTGTCCAGTATAATATACTGGAGTTTGGAGCACTGGTGCTCCAGTCTTCCGCAAATTTTACAGGAGTTAGCAAAGTATACCGGTCCAGCATAATATGCTGGAGTTCGTACACAAATGCACCAGAACTCCCGTATATTATACTGGACCGGTCCCTGTTGCAGCAAAATAGTGGCTATTTTTCATTGACTTGATAAACGCTGGCTATTTTTCATTGACCAGTATGAAAACTGGCTATACCATGATATTTTAACGACTTAAGAGTTAAGATGAGCCCAGAGGCTATAAACCCATTGGTGCGTCATACACACTTATTTGAAAAGAGTGGTCAAATACAAAAGCGGTGTGTCATAAATACACATTTGAAAGGTTTAGGTGTTTTAAAATATTCCCGTAATCAACAGGTGTGTAAGAGGGATTTTGGTACAAGTTCAGTTGGTATTTTATTTTATGTATTCTGCCTTTTGTTGGAAGAGAAGTTTTGCACTTCTATAAATTGAGGCTTGCTTCTCACGTTACAAAAAACAACAACAACAACCTCCACAATGTAGTCTTTCGAAGAGTTTTTGTTTAGGGGGGAATTTTTTTCCCAATAGTTTTTATATTATTATATTAGTTTTTATATGTAGGTTAATTGACCAAACCCCATTATAATATCTTATTTTAGTATATTCTTTTGTCATATGATTTATCGTCCATCAAACTTTGTATTGTTAGCTTCCGCACGCACCATGTTATTTCGATCCCAACATATGGAAGGAATTTAACTACTAGCTTGAAATGTATCAACTGCAGAAGGAACTTCTATATTCATATGTTCTTTGACTCGATTGTCACTGCTAATTTCAGCTTTTCTTAAAAGGAGAGAAACAAAAACACACAGCAGGACTTGGGAGAAGCGGAAAAGCAAGATCATAAGATATTGTTTACTTAAAGTTCTTAACTTAAATGCAATAAAATTAACATTACCCCAGATCTCATCTGAAATATATCAAGTGTGCACCTGTGTGCAATATGTGATTATTAAGACACGATGAAAATGAGATTTATAGACTTTAGATTTTAGCCCTTCCGAAGCTCAGGTGGATTCTTATTTGCAACATAAAGTGTTTTTGATCTTTTATAGTGCTTCAACAATTCAGAAATCATAAGCACATTAACCAGCAAAGCTATGATATGATGCATTACAGATACGTATAAATATATATTTGGATTCAGGAATCGAAAATAGAAGACATTTCGTACCTTGGTTTAATGACATACATAAGTATGAAAGTTATTGCCACGAATAAGCAAATTCCACCAACGGCCAGATATGCAATGCCTAGGAAATTATTCCTTCCACCAATCCATGTTGTGGTTGAAAGAACCAGCGACTTTTTACCCCCAAAAGTATATGTGTTATAATGGTTTTGTATTACTACAGTAATCTTCTCATTAGCTTCAAGATCATACTCCACCTTCCCGTATAACTTCCTGAATAACGGCAATGCTGCAGTTCGCATCCAAATTTGAAGATCCTCTTGCTCACTCAACTGCATGTAAAATCCCCAAAATGATTAAGATAAAGATGAAATGCGCAAAAAAGGAAAAATTAACACTAAGGTGAAAAGTGAGTATTCACTAACAGGTATGCTCTCATTAAGTTTTCCACCCCCAATTAAAGCTCCATTCTGGAAATTCTTAGGGTAAACATTTGACCCAAATTTGTGTTTTCTATCACTTGGCCATGAAATGTTCTTCCTATTGATTGGTAAAGGTATGCCCTTAATTGAAAAACCATATGTATCATTGAACAAACTCCAAGCAATAAGTCCACACGGGATCACAGGCTCATTTCCATTCATGTCTTCAGGAGCACAAGTCTTTTTCAAATCATCCTTGTAATTTGGGTCGCGCAACTGCTCGTCATTTCTGCTTTTTACATAACTGTGAAAAAAACATATGAAGTTGTCAATACCATTTAAGCGTATATCACCTACTGGAAAAATGAAGTGATGCTCCTTCAAGTATGTCCACTTCGATACGAGGAGTCTATCTGTAATAAAGATCTCAAACAAAAAATAACATAATACTATAGAGTAAAAAGGGAAAAACAGGCAACTTGCACAATGTCTTTCAAAGTTAGGCTCGGTCTCATTTATTTGATTATTGTGAGATAAGAAAAAAAAATTGTAAAAAAAAATATGCTTCCCCAACTTGCTTGGGAATGAGGCGTAGTTGTTATTGTTTTAAAAGAATATACTTCAATTGCATTAGAAGAGTTATTTATTTCAGGTACAGCCACAAACTGTTTTAATTGATTTTAAAACATGGATTCATTTTAATACCCATAACATATACAGCTTTAACTTATATCGAACAAAATCTTGGACATACCGGCGATGATTCTGATAAAAGTTATCAAGCTGGTAATAAACATAGATAGGATGCTTCATTTTCTTAGGAACCTAAAAACATTCAGCAAACGAATTGTTAAGGACGAGGACAATATAATGTCAGAATTTGGAAACAGAGAAAAACCAACATATTTGGAATAGAGGACTAACTATCAAGTTTCTGATGCAAGTCTTGTTTGACTTATCATTTTGGATATGTGTAACCCTATCATGATATGCAAGTGCCGGTTTTGAATAATTTGTAGGGATGCAATCCTCATCATAACGGTCTACAATTTCCACCACCTGCATAAAAATGATATATATTATATGCCAAATACCATTTGACTGTGAGAAACAAACTCGAGAAAACCATAAAGAGATGGATATTCGAGTACTTTTTCTGATGCAGACAATGAGGCAAGTCCTATAGGAATGAAGACGATGCCAAGGAAGATAAATGCTGTGACAACCTGAATGCAGAAAGTGATAAGTATAATCAACAAGACATTTCTAAAGCACAGATTTAATCAACAAGAAGTTATGTTAACCATTATGTGAATGCATACCCATTGTGGAGTTAAAATTGGCTTGCAAGCAGGAAGCTCTTGCTGAGTAAACCTTGAATCTATACCACAAAAAAATGCGTCTAAATTTGGTTAGTTTCTGTAAATTAAACTGAAAATATATAAAACACTGAAAACTAAGTCATTATGCTGGCATATACAGATATTAAATCACTCAAGTTGCAAAAAGGAGTATAAAAGCCATGATTGGCTTATAGTTAGGTTCCGGAAGGATTGTAAGTATCATCATGGCTATGCATCGTCAGAGAGGCAATGAACCAGTTATTTATAACACAGAATAAACATTCTCAATATCTAAGCCAGATCATAATCCCATTATTTAACCATCTGTAAGATGAAAGACCAGTAATCCAAATAATGCAAGGGGGGTATGTGGCTATTAAGCAATGAACATAACACAATGTTAGTCAAAATGCACCTCACATTTTAGTTATGAAAACTTCGAAGTTGGACCAAATTCCTGGTGATCACATTTCACTTTTAAACATTGTCGACAATTAAATAGAAACTGCACTCTCAGCAAAGGCAGAGCTAGAATTTGAAGTTTATAGGTTCTAAAATTGTCGCCAAACCCATAGCTCAAGATATAGTTATTTGGTTTGCAATTAGATAAATATTTAGTAAATACAAATGCAAGGGTTAAGCAAAAGTTATTGGGTTCATCCGAACCCGTAAAATACACTCCCTCCGCCCCTGACTCTCAGCAAGCTACAAAGTGGAAATTTTGAAATACAATGATGTGATTTCAGAAACTATTGATTCTGCCAAGCTTTACATATTACTTTCTACTTCTTGCCAAAAGAACCCCAGAAAAGTTACATCCAATGCAGATCTTCCAATGATGAAAAATCCCCTTTTACACAGTGAAAACTCAATCTAGACAGACTTGTTTTCATCTTATGCATATTTAGAAAGTCAATGAATAGCCTCCCCAAGTCAAAAACTTCAACATTTAAAGGGCAAACAGAAATAGAGTTTAGGTTTTATGCACTGACTGTGTATAACAAATATACACAATCAGGTCATTTAAAAGCTAATTGCACGACTCTTTATTATAAGTATTGATTGGTAATTTAGAAGAAATGGTAAGTACTCTAAATTTTACAGAAAGTTTAAATCATACAGATAACACAAAAGTTATTTATACCACTAGTATACATAACTTAAATCCCTAGCAGCGTACTTAATTATTTTTGCAGTGCATTAATATCCTGCTGTTACAATTATTTCCAAAGTTAGTTAACCAAACAGGCTTCATTAAGAACAACTAATAAAACAACCTAAATACCCCATATATCATCGCTACATCTCAGCTATTCAGGGAGTAGATTGAATTTTCGCTACTTCTGGAATATGCTTAAACTATAAAAATATATATATATATATATATATATATATATATATATATATATATATATATATATATATATATATATATATAAAAGAAGAAACAAAGGAGAATACTTTTTTCCTTTCCTTGTTTTCTACCAACAAAAATTGTTACATAAGAAATGAATCTAGAAATTTTGCGAATAATCGAATCAATTATGATAAATTTAACCTATAAATTCATGCATGTTTTTTGTTTTTAGAAAAATAAATAAATAACCGACCGTTCAAAACATGCAGAGGTTCAGAAAAAACATCATAAGACGAAATCGAAAAGGGAAAAATTGAAAGAAAAGAAGAGAGAATTGAAGAAAGGAAGTATTACAGTCAGGTTTCCTGGATTTCTTTGAAGAAGATGAGGTTCCTTCGCCCATTGTTACGTCAAATCTATAAAGAATTAGAAAGGAATTATTATTACTCTAAAATTGTGAATATTTTTGAGGAAGGAGAAAAAATAGGGGGAAATGGGATCAGAATTTTCCTTTCTTCCCCCTTTATTTTCTGTTTGAGAAGGGAATGGCATTAAGGTGGTTGCATGGCAAAAACTGCTACGTGATGGAACTACCGAAAGTCACTGCCTTCCATCGCCCAACTCCCACGTACACCACACTACACCTAAAATATGGAAAATATTTATCAAGTATACATAAATTAACTTTAGTAGGTAAAATATTAATGTAATAATATATGGTTAAGTGATAAATATATGTATGCGAGGCATTTTATATCTATGTTTAATATAAATATAGGAATGCAGATAAATTTTCATTCAAAAAATATTATACTCATCCCTATGAATAAAGAAGGGTGTATACGGTCAAAATCGAGCTTGCCTAATTCTGTATGACTAACCGAATTCAGGGTTGCAGATTAAGGCACGGCCTCAATTATATCGGACCATGGTACGGAGATGGATTCGTAAGCTCGTGGATCAATGGCCGATCAAGATCGAGAACAGCCGTGATCGAGACCGAAGCGAGAATGAGATCGAGCGAGATCGAAGGAAGCCTGCTAGGTCGAATAACAGAAAGCCGAGATATCTGTGATCGGGCAAGGATCGTGGCGAAAATCTCGGCACGTATCAAGTCAAGACCGTACATTTAGCCAATCATGGGATTTCCTTATGTAATTAGAATTATACCATAAATAGGATTCCTCTACTATATAAAGACGGTCCTAATCATTTTGTAAAGATAACATATTCACGCATAATCAAGCAACATACTACATCTTTCTCTCTTAAGCTCTACTGTTCAGTTCATACATTTTCAATAGCATACTCAGTTGGTTCGAGGGCGATTTAGCTCGAGGGCCACAGTTGTTCATCATATCGGTTTGCTTTATTTTACTGTTAATTTCTAGCATTAGTTCTCATATTTATTAGTTTAGTGAATTCACATATCCTTAAAACCACTTATAAGTTTAATTGTTATCCAACTTTAAGGGTAAACAATTTGGCGTCCACCGTGGGGCTAAGGATAATAGTGATTGCGTGGTACAATTTTCGTAACACACACTATTTTACGCTTGTTCTTTGAAGTGTCTTTGATTCCAAGATCAACATGTCAAACTCTCAAGTAGCACCCACACACAGAGACAATGGCCTTGGTCTCCATGGCGAGTACGACAACATAGCCGCCCGGGGAAATGGAGTACCTCCAATCAACCCAGATGGAGCCCCGACTGTAGACCCAATCGATGTCAGCTCCCATATTGCCATTAATGGAAATTTGGCCATCGATCCTGAAAATAGCATCCGCAGAGATGCTAGGATAGCCGATCAGAACACACAGGGCGGAGAAGAAGGCATGATTAGCCTTCGAATGATATTCGAAATGTTGCAGACTCAACAAGCTGCAATAGCGCAACTCCAAAATCAGAATCGTACACCAAGCAGGATCGAGCTCGAGCCATCACAAGAAATTGTTCATAGAGCCGAATCGGTGACAAGATATCGAATGGAGGAGAATCGAAAACCAATCCTGCTATCATAAAGATGTTCGAGGAACTGACAAAGCGAATCGAGACAGGGGAAAAGAAGATTGAGGAAAATGATAAAAAGTGGAAACTCATAACTCCAGGGTTGACCAAACCCGGGGGCACCACCGGTATTGAAAGGGCTTGAACCAAAAAGTTTGTCCAAAAACCTTTCCCCCTAAGTGCGACTCCGAAGCCAATCCCTAAGAAGTTCCGTATGCCCGAGATTCCGAAGAATAACGGAACGACAGATCCAAACGAACACCTCACCTCATATACGTGCGCCATCAAGGGAAATGACTTGGAAGATGACGAGATTGAATCTGTATTGCTAAAAAAATTTGGGGAAACTCTATCGAAGGGTGCTATGATAAGGTATTACCACCTAATTCTATTGATTTATTTGTTATGCTTGCAGATTCCCTTGTAAAGGCGCACACCGGAGCCATTAAGGCTGCAACAAGAAAGTCGGACCTATTCAAGGTAAGGCAGAGAGATAATGAGATGCTAAGGGAATTTGTATCTCGGTTCCAAACGGAGAGAATGGATTTGCCACCAGTCACCGACGATTGGTCTGTTCAGGCCTTCACTCAAGGTCTCAATGTTTGGAGTTCCATAGCTTTAGAGCAGTTGAAGCAAAATTTGATCGAGTATCCGGCTGTCACTTGGGCCGATGTACATAATCGATATTAGTCGAAGATCGGGGTCAAGGATGATCAACTAGGAACTCCCTCCGGGTCTGTTTATCCTAACAGGACCATGGATAGAATCAAGAGGGATATCGATCGAGAGCCAAGGTCGAATAGAGATCAATACTAACCGTACAACAGAGACCGAAGAGGCAGCAAGTCTGGACGAAACTTTGCACGGAATGAGAAGAGAAACGATCGAGGTCAAAGTTCAGGGGGACTCGTAAACAAAGGTGGTTTTGACAGGGATGTCGGGCCCAAAAAAGCTCCTCGATTATCGGAATATAACTTCAGTGTAGATGCATCTGCCATCGTATCATCCATCGGACGTATCAAGGATACTAGATGGCCTCGACCTCTGCAGACCGATCCGTCCCAAAGAAACCCCAACCAAATATGCAAGTATCATGGCACTCATGGTCATAAAATAGAAGATTGCAGGCAGCTAAGGGAGGAAGCAGCCCGATTGTTCAATGAGGGGCATCTTTGAGAATTCTTAAGTGATCGGGCCAACAACCACTTTAAAAACAGAGATTCAAACAGACAGAACGAGCAAGAAGAGCCACAACACGTGATTCACATAATTGTTGAAGGGGTCGATGTTCCTCAAGGACCGGTATTTAAACGCACCAAGGTGACGATCACAAGGGAAAAGTGAACCCGGGAGTACTTACCAGAAGAAACCTTGTCTTTCAATGACGAGGATGCAGAAGGGATCGAACAACCTCACAACAACGCACTGGTAATATCTGTCTTTATGAGTAAAATTCAAGTTAAACGTGTGTTGATTGATCCAGGTAACTTGGTCAACATTATTCGAGCAAGGGTTGTGGAACAACTCGGGCTGCAAGATCAAATTGTGCCCACAGCCCGAGTACTTAACGGCTTCAACATGGCAAGCCAAACCACCAAAGGTGAAATTATTTTACTAGTAAACGTGGAGGGGACCATCCAAGAAACAAATTTCCATGTGATCGAGGGTGACATGAGGTACAATGCATTGCTCGGAAAGCCCTGGATCCATAACATGAGGGCAGTACCCTTGACCCTTCACCAAGTTCTGAAGTTCCCAACATCGGAGGGAGTCAAAACAGTGTACGGGGAACAACCTGCCACCAAGGAGATGTTTGCAATCGATGAAGTGATACCGGTATCGACACTTTCATCAGCAAAAGAATCGGATTCAAGGGGAAAGTAGTAGGCCAAATAGCAACCACAGCCACCAACCTCGACCCAACCGGAGGAGCAAAGAACTTACGAGGATGATGATTGTATGATACCTCAATCCTTCGTAATCCCCGATGATTCTGACGCCCCAAAATTGACGGTCGAAGAGCTGGAACAAATCATACTGATCGAGCATCTGCCTGATCAAAAGGTATACCTGGGCACGGGGTTAACTCCCGAGCTCAGGAAAAAACTTATTCAATTTCTTAAAACTAATATGGATTGTTTTGCCTGGTCCCATCTCGATATGACAGGGATCCCACCGGAGATCACTACTCATAAACTAAGCTTGGACCCAAAGTTCCGCCCGGTGAAACAAAAAAGGAGGCCTCAGTTCGAGGTAAAACATGCCTTCATCAAATATGGGTAACCAAACTTCTCAAAATAGGATCCATTCGGGAAGTAAAGTATCCTGAATGGTTAGAAAATGTAGTGGTAGTCCCTAAGAAGGGAAACAAACATAGAATGTGTATTGATTATAAAGACCTGAATAAAGCATGCCCCAAGGACTCTTTTACCTTGCCTAACATCGACTATATGATTGATGCCACGGCCGGCCACGAGACTTTCAGTTTTCTCGATGCCTACTCCGGGTACAACCAAATACAAATGAACCTGGAGGACCAGGAAAAGACCTCGTTTATCACTAAGTATGGCACCTACTGTTATAATGTAATGTCGTAAGGACTAAAAAATGCTGGTGCGACCTATCAACGCCTAGTAAATCGAATGTTCGAACAACAAATAGGGAATCTGTGGAAGTTTATATTGATGACATGCTAGTTAAGTCTCTACGACCAGAGGACCATTTGAAATATTTGCAGGAGACTTTCGATATATTAAGGAAGTATAATATGAAGCTCAACCCAGAAAAGTGCGCGCCCGGGGTTGGCTCGGGTAAGTTTCTCGCTTCATGGTGTCCAATTGGGGGATCAAGATCAACCCCGATAAAATCAAAGCTATCGAGGATATCAAGGCCGTAGATAATGTAAAGGTCGTACAGTGGCTAACCGGGCGCATAACCGCCCTAGGGCGATTCATTTCGAGATCCTCGGACAGGAGTCACCGATTCTTCTCACTGCATGAGAAGAATAATTTTGCATGGACCCCGGAATGCCAGTAGGCCTTGGAGGAACTAAAGCGGTACTTATTGAGCCTGTCATTGCTTCATACCCCAAAAATGGACGAACAACTTTACTTGTACTTGGCAGTCTCGGATATAGCGATAAGTAGAGTCCTAGTCTGAGAAGAACAAGGTACGCAATTCCCTATCTATTATGTTAGTCGGACCTTAGGTGAGGCCGAAACTAGGTATCCTCACTTAGAAAAGTTAGCGCTCGCTTTGGTAAGCGCCTCTAGGAAATTAAAATCGTATTTTCAATGTCATCCCATAATTTTTTGTAACAACTTATCCCTTCGAAATATTTTGCATAAACCCGAATTTTCGGGGCAATTGGCCAAATGGGCCGTGGAACTCAGCGGTACGATATTGAGTATAGACCCCGAACAACCATCAAGTCTCAAATCTTGGCATACTTCGTGGCTGAATTCACGCAAACCTTAGTACTCGAGGTTGAAGAGAATTGTTAGTCAACTCAAGTACATCTTCGGGGAT